AATGCAGAAGATAATGATGTTACCTACTTAAAAAGCCCACCTTCCATCCCAGCACTCAGGAGGCAGAGGCGGGCAGATCTGTGTGTTCAAAGCCAGCCTGGGCTACAGAGTGAATTCCAGGAAAGTCAGGGCTACATAGAAACCTTGTCCTGAAAAACAAAAAGTCTACATGAAAGCTCCTGCGGAATATACACAAGGCCCTGGATTCTATAGTCAGCTTGAGAGGCAGGTGAGTGCCATCAGAAGAGGAAAAGATTGGCTTTTGCATGCTGAAAGTCAGGAAGGAGCTCATCATTGTGGTGCATGCCTGTGATCAGAACACTTTAGAACAGAAGTTCTCAGCCTGTGGGTCAAGACCTTCTGGGGGCTGAACAACCCTTTCACAGGGGTCACATTATTAGATTCATACATGGCTTATAACAGTAGTAAAATTAAAGTCCTAAATTAGTAAAAACAAAACAAAACAACTTATGGTTGGGGGTCAACAGAACATGAAGAGCTGTATTAAAGGGTTGTAGCACTAGGAAGGTTGAGGACCACTGGCCCCGACAATACAGTTAACAAAGCATGTACACTGTGTTAGTGTCATAGTCTTCTTTCAGGAAACAGGAGGACAAGCATAGGTGAGGATATTACACCATGTACATAGGGGATGTGAGGGTCCTGGTGTTTGGCTATCTGTAAGGGGTGTTATAATAACTCCCCCATGAACACAGTATCCTTACAATCAGTTAAGGTAACCTGAAATTGTTTCCCTTCTGACCAATGACAAAGTCTGATTGTTTCTCTTCTGTCCAATGACAAAGAGCCTGAGGTTGCACGGCTGGGCATTCTTTAATATTTGTATTAACTACTTGAGAATTATTTCGGGTTTCTTTGTTATTGTTTCTTTGAGCAGGGTCTTACTATATAGCTCTGGCTATTCTGGCCTTCCAAGTGCTGCCACTACAGGCTGGTGCCACTCCCCCCAGCTTAGTTATTTGAGAAGTCTACACAATGTGTCATCAGTCCAGGATCTCCAACTTAGGTCAACAGACTTATGAAGCAAGTGCTTGTACTTCCTGAGTTACCTCGCTGCCCTCCCCTGACCTTGTACTTCTGAACCCCCCTGATTTCTTGAAAAAAAGGGGGGGAGGTTATGTGGGTGGGTGAGATGGCACATGCTAAAAATTAAATAAATGGGAGCTGGAGATACAGTTCAGCAGTTAAGAGTTCTGCACTGCTGAGTTTGAGACCAGCCTGTGTTACAGAGCAGCCAGGGCTACATGGAGAAACCCTGTCTCGTGGGAAAAAAAAAAGTTCTGTATTGCTTTTCCAAGGGACCTCAATTTGAGGCTCAGCAACCACGCAGGGCCGCTTCACAGGATCTGACACCTCTGGCCTCCATGGGCACCTGCACACCCTGCCTCCCCAACTCAATACATACATGTAATCAAAGATAAAGCTTAAAGAGCCAGGGCTGCTGGTGCACCTGTGATTGGTATGCACCTGGGATAAAATAAAATAACGGTAAGTGAAGCACACAAGTTAATTACAAAGATCACACAACACAGCACTCGGAACACAGGCTCCAGCATCCTGCCCTCAAACACCAGGGTACTGAAACCTGAAAAACTCTGTGCTTCTGCTCAGCAAGCATCCACCCCTCTGCCCATGTTTCTTTTATAATACTGTGTGACGACTACTACAACTAGGTGAGAAGCCCTGCTTCCCAGCCATGTTTACTCTCCTGAATGACAGCAGAAGTGAGAATTGGAAAGATGAAAAGGGAGATGTACCCAGTGAGGCGGTTTCGGATAATTTTGACGCTCATCACGGTCTCCCCCATGGTGGCAAAGGCTCTAGAGATGAAGTTCTCATCCATGTAGGGTTCCAGCTGCATAAAAACCACAGCAGAGAGGCTCAGTTCCGGAAGCCCCACGGGGAGGGGGGACGAGGCTCCAACCTCCTCCTGTACTTCCAGTTGCTCCCCTTGATGGGCGGTGTGGCACACGCCTGTAGTCCCGACACTGGCTAGCTAGTGGCAGGCAGATCTCTGCGTGAGTTCGAGGACAGTCTGGTTTTTATAGTGAGTTCCAGGACCAGTCAGACCTAGGTGAGACCCCCACCCCAATCTCCAAACAAAAATAACAAATCGTTCCCCTTTATGGAACTCCCCGTGCCTCCGGCCCTAGAAACAAAGGGCCCCTCAATCCTTGAGGCTCCTCCCATTCGACCCCCAAAATCTCCTTTTCCTTCCTATATTGAAAAGGGGACCCCAGAACCTATACCCCGTGGATTCTGCATCTGATCAATCTTCCTTTTGATGCCCAGCCTCTCTTTCCTGTTAGGGCCAGGGTGAGAAAGGGCCTCGCAATGACGCCCAAAGGAGCCTGGAAGTGTCTAGGAGGGCCTCCTGCCTCTGCCTCAGTGAGGGATTAAGGCATGCGACGCGCCAATACTCCCGGCCTGGCTTTTCTTGAGTCACCAAACCCGTGCGGTTCACCTCCGCCCTTCTGGATCTGAAGGCCCGTCGCCCCCAGGCCCTCCCTCCCCTGTGACTTGAGGCCCTCTTCTCCTCAGAGCAGGGGCGGCCCGCACTCACGTCTCCCATCCACAGGCTGGCCGCCATCCCGCATCCGGACGGGGACCGTGCGGGCCTGTGGAGCGCACCCGCGACGCCTCCCGCGCACACGCAGTCGGGAAGGCTAGTCGCGCCAATCCGGGTTTTCCTCGGGTCTGTCAGCAGCTTCCGGCTCGTAGGGGGCGTGGCCCCGACACGGGCAGGGGCGTGGCTTCCATTCGGGCGCCGGAAGCCTGGCTGGTGCGGGCTCTGAAAAAAAAAAAAAAAACAGTAGGGTGTGCTACTCAGTATTTTAATAAAACCACGTAAATATTTAATCAAGGGAGGTAAGGTTCTCTCAGTAGGGACTTCCAAGCATTAGCACGAAGGTAAATTAGCGATGGAACGCTCCGATTGGACTGTGGACTAGCCCGGGCCCCTATAGCTGTCCTCTTGCTCTGAGCATTCCAGCTGAAAAACCGCGAGGGCTGTTTTGAAGATGTAATGAGATTCTTCATTCTCATAAAGCCCTATGGCGGAGAGGACTAAGGGACAGTTCTTTTGATAAATCAAATCACTCTCACCCATCGTTATGTGTGTTGTGTACGGGACACAATCTCTATGTGGCCCTGGCTAGCCTGTAAGTGCCTAGTCATATAGATCTACCTGCTTCCGCCTGTTTTTATGAACCCCAGTCCTCTGAAAGTGCATTCCTTGTCTTCAACGTCTGAGCCACATCTCCAGCCCCACGCTTTAATTCTTATTTATCTATTTAGTCTTGAAGCAAGGTCTCATTATGTTGCTCAAGCCGTCCTGGTACATACTTTTGGCAATTCTCTTCCTTCAGTCTCCAAAGTGCTGTTTACAAGTGTGAGACATCACTCCTGGCCCCTCCCACTTTCTATTCCATAACGCTAAGGATTCATCTCAGACCACAGACCTACCCATAAAACACTCAGCAAAATTGTTTTTTGAGAGCTCCTAAAGTGGGATTAGCCCAGACTCGACATCAGATTAAAGTGGGTGGTGGTACACGCCTTTCAACCCAGCCCTTGGGAGGCAGACGCAGATGGATGGATCTTTTTGAGTTCGAGGCCAAAATAGCTTCAGGAAGTTCCTGAAACTGATCAGATTACTAGGACACCCATCGTCGGAGTAAGCAATAAAGTTGAGGTTGACCTGCAAAGGACTCTGAGTATAGCCCATCTGCCTAGAAATTTAGACCAGGGTAGCTTGGAAAGGATACTCTTCAGCCTCTTATGCTGCCTGGAGGCTGTGCAGTGAGTGAACTCCAGATTCCCAGCTTTTGGGAGCTGTCACCCGTGCCTTTGATGACAAAGCTGCATTTCTGCCCTGTAACTAACCCCAATGAAACTCACTGGTTCACCAAGTTGGATTATCTGTAATTTGGTCTATTCTAAGCTCCCTAGCTACGGTGAGTGGACACATGTGTATAGCAGCTTCCAAGGAAAAGTTTTACCACAGAGCAACCGAGGTTAAGTTTTAAGCTTTTGAAAATGCAGACAGGAGTTTGAGACCAGCCTGGTCTACAAGAGCTAGTTCCAGGACAGCATCCAAAAAACCAGAAAAACCCTGTCTCAAAAAAAAAAAAAAAAAAAAAGAAGCCAGGCATTGGTGGCACACACCTTTAATCCCGGCACTTGGGAGGCAGAGGCAGGTGGATCTCTGTGAGTTCGAGGACAGCCTGGTCTACAGAGCTAGTTCCAGGGCAGCCTCTAAAACAATACAGAGAAACCCTGTCTCGGAAAAACAAAACAAAACAAAACTAAAAGCAAAACAACAACAAAAAAATGCATACAGTTGAGTAAAATTAGAGCCTGGCAGGAGTGGCACACCCCTTTAATCCCAGCACTCAGGAGGCAGAGGCAGGTGGATTTCTGTGAGTTTGAGGCTAGCCAGTCAACAAACTTGAGTTATAGGACAGCCAGAGCTGTTAACACAAAGAAATTTGGGCCAGTTGTAGTGGTTACATGACTTTAATCCAAAAACTCTGGAAGCAGAGGCAGACAGATTTTTTTTATGAGTTCAAAGCTAGCTTGTTTTACACAATAAATTCCAGCCAGGGACACACAGTAAGATCCTGCCAAAACCAGAACAAAATGAAAAACCTTGGCTTCCATATTAAAGCCAGGCACTCAGGAAGCTGAGGCAGGAGGTTCAGGTCAGCCTGAGCTACACTGAGAGCCCATTTAAAAAAAAAAAATCTATCTTATCTGTCTTATGCATCATGGCCATGAAGAAACCGCAGTGGTTCCTATAGCCTAACTAACCAAACACCTCATGTCTTTCCCAGACTCTGGGACAGCTGTGTTGGCCACAGCCTTGACAACAGATTCCTAGGCATGTTTACCCTGCCCCCTTAGTAATGCTTGGTACAAGGCAAGTGCCCCATTAAAGACAACAAAACAATTCCAGGAAAACTGCATGAAACAAAGAGTCCATTTTTATAAAACTCTAAATTTATTCAAAGTGTTAAAAGATTTCACTCTCCCCTCCAAAATACTTTATAATTAAAAAAACAAAAACAAAACTACTGTCTCAACCACTGTTCTTCCTTTTCTTAGGACCAGCCTCCGTCCCTCCAAGTGTTCCCCTCCACGCTTCCCCAGTACCCTGCCTTGACTGCCCAGCAGAGCCCAGCATGGCTTTCCAGTCCTTTTTGGCACAAAGGCTGACTAGATGGGGAATGCATAGGCAATGCCCAAGAGACAGTGGGGTGCTTTGTGCTTTTGGGAGAACAGCTAGTTGGATTTCTTTCAAGTGGATCGCTGTTTTTGCCCATGGACACCTGTTTAGAGCCAAATATTTGGCTTAGGGTCACCCCAGCCTTGTGAAGCCTTTGTCCAGATCTCTCTAGGCATAGGTCCATGACAACTGGATCTGATGACTGTACCATCCGTCTCCTTTTAAACTGATGTTAGGAACAGAAAAAGTGGCACATAGGAATGGGGGTGTGAACGGAGTTCCCAACTTTTCAGAGTATGGGCACCCAAACCCCAAGCTTTGGGTTTTGTAGGCAATGAGCCAGGGCCTGCTAGGACCACAGGAAGTAGGGTAATATAGGGAACGGTGTAAGGACGTAAGTAAGCAAACTCCTTCTGAGACCCCCTTCCCATCCTCCCTCATCCTGTACTTCTCAGGATGATTCTAGAAAAGAGGACGAAACAGAAGGAAAGGATTCTGTGGTGGTGATGGGTAAGACAGGAGATGACAGCTGTTCAGGGCTGGGGAGGGGCCTTCTGGAATTTGCATCTGGCTGTTTTCCTGTTCTGTGAAGGTGGGTTGGGGGCCAGAAGCCAGGCCCACAAAGACTTCATCAGCTCTGTTCCTTGTCCTTAACCAGTAAGACTGTGTGCTGGCCCCCGCTGGATACAGTTAAGACCACTCGGTTCTCCAGCTGTTTGCCGGTCATTTCCACAGGGCTCCAGGCATCTTCATCCTGCCCTGTGCCCAGCTGGTAGTTGGTGCCCATGCCCCAGGCAAAAACACGACCTAGAAAGGACAGAAAGAGAGTCTTTGGGGTCCTCAGACCTGCCTTGCCATACCAGGAGATGCCTGGGACATGGGGGTGAATTTTGGCCTTGATCAATAGCAGTCTGGCAAGGTCCCAGCCCAAGAGTTCAAGGGAGTTTGGAAGAGCTAAGGAGAATGTGTTCTCTGCTGCATTCTCTCTGTTCTTGGAACCAGCCACCTTCTAGATTACTTAGGATGCTCCTGGGTTTGATATGCCATTAAATTTTTTTGTTTTTTTGTTTTTTTCGAGACAGGGTTTCTCTGTGGTTTTGGAGGCTGTCCTGGAGCTCGCTCTGTAGACCAGGCTGGCCTCGAACTCACAGAGATCCGCCTGCCTCTGCCTCCCGAGTGCTGTGATTAAAGGCGTGCGCCACCAACACCCGGCAATTTTTTTTTTTAAGATAAGGTCTCACTATGTAGGCCTGGCTAGCCTAAAACTCACTCACTATATAGACAAGGCTAGCCTCAAACTCACAAAGATGTGCTTGCTTCTGCCTCCTGAGTACTGGGACTAAAAGTGTGTGCCACAACACCTGGCCTATAAGAACTGAACCTCCATGCTGCAATGCAAACCCCACTTCTTGAGGAAGCCCACCCAGGTAAGCATAAACGTCCCTGCCAATCTGAATTCTGCAGGATCCCTGGCTATGCACCTTTCTTGGGCTTCGGCTGCTATATGTCCACACCCTCTTCTGCAGGACTAGCCAGGATCCACATAGCAGCTCACAACTGTTAGTGACTCCAGTCCCCTGGGGATCTGATGCCCTCTCCTGGCCTCTGTAGGCACCAAGCATATACATAGTACATACACATACATGCAGATATAAGCATTAAAAAAAAGTACTCCTGCCAGGCGTTGGTGGCACACACCTTTAATCCCAGCACTCGGGAGGCAGAGGCAGGGGGATCTCTGTGAGTTCAAGGCCAGCCTGGTCTACAGAGCGAGTTCCAGGACAGCCTCCAAAACAATACAGAGAAACCCTGTCTCGAAAAACCTAAAAAAAAAAGTACTCTTGTCTTGTGGGATATTTATACACTGTGTGAAGGTGTATTGCTGTGATTAGTGTAATAAGCTGAACAGCCAATAGTAAGGCAGGAGGTATAGGCAGGATTTCCGGGAAGAAAAAGTAAGAGGAAGAGGAGTCTAGGGACTCAGGGATGCCAGGAGACAAAGAGAAAACAGGAGGTACAAGATAAACGAGAGATAACGCCACATGATACAATGTACATTAATATAAATGGGTTAAGGTAAGTTATTAATAGCTAGTTAAAAACAAACCTAAGCTACAGATCAAGCTTTCATAATTAATAAGAAGTCTCCATGTCATTATTTGGTGGCTAGATGCTGGGACAGAGAAAATCCTCAGAGTCCAGCGTGATGGCACATGATCCCAACATTCAGAAGGCAGAGGCAGGGGCAGGCTGATCTTTGTGTGTTCCAGCCTGGTCTACATGGTAAGACCCCTGTCTCAAAAACAGACTAAAACAAAACAACATAAACATCCCACCCAGAGCTTATGATTCAATGGCAAAACAGTATTATCAACAACATAACCTGAGAAACTTGCTAGGAATCATGATCCCAGGCTCCAACAACCAGGTCTGAGGAGATCACTCACCATCCTTGGACACAGCATATCCCACAGAAGCCCCACAGGCCACAGAGGAGACGACGGGCAGTCGGGAAATGAGGGTGGGTATGCTCTTCTCCTCAGCACCCTCCCCAAGGCCCAGCCGCCCATATTCAGCCCTGCCCAGGCTGTATGCTTTTCCTGTGGGAGAGAGGTTGAGTATCAGCAGGGGGCACGTTCCAAGTAAAATAGACAGCACACCAAGTGAGTCCCCGTGTCCTTCAGGGTCAGCTCTCCTCTCGGGGGCTGAGATCTCAGGGCCTTTTCTTTTCTTCATCTGGGGCAAGGAGCTAGAAGATGCTCTATACCCCCCCAGGGGCACTCACGCTCCAGGCACCAGGACAACCCTCACGGATGCTATCTATGTCTGGCCCAAACCATGATCCAAAGCACCTGGCCGTATCAGGGACTCTCTGAAGCAGAAGGGCTTGGGTGTCCTACCTTCTGAATCCATGCAGATTGTATGGTGCTGGCCACCAGAGAAGCCCACCCAGGACTTGGTGGAATTCTTGAAGGATGTTAAGTTCTGAGGAATGAAGCAAGATGCAGTGCCCGGAGTTCCTGTTGCCAAGGGTGAAAGTGTTCCAGAAGCTTCCCTTCTCAATGTTGTCCCCAGAAAGGCCACTCCCACTCATCCCCAGAAACATCACCTTACACCGTACCTCTGAGGCATCAGGTACCCCACAAAGCAAACCCAAAGACAGGAACCAAGGTCATGGAGTCAAGTCTGATGCTAGGATCAGCACTCACCAAGCTGGTGATAGTTCGAGAGGCCAAAGCCATATACATGGCCCTCACGGGAGATGGCAAAAGTGAGATAGGCCCCACAGAAGGCATCTTGGAACCGCACACGGCCCCGACTTCCCCGGGATTTCAGCAGCACACACTTGGGGACCAGGAGTCGCTCTGTAAGGAAAGAGAAAGCCAGGGTCAGTGACAGACATAGGGTGTTTTTTCTCTTCCACAAAGGACCCTGAAGGAGGCGAAGCAGGTTCATCCTCATTAAAGACCAGGCAACACCAGGTTCAGACTTTAACACTCATGAGAAGGAAAGCTCAGGTACAACTGAGGTGCCAGACATTCTCCTGATTAACCCTTTCTCTCCTCACAGTAACCAATAGGGGTGGGGTGAGAGATAAGGAGTCAGCCTCCAAAGTCTGAGGGTTCTCCCCCCACCTTTGTAGAGGGTCTCATTATTTATTGGTTGGCCTAGAAATACATACACCAGGCAGGCCTCAAAGTCTAAATCTGAGGAGCTCACATTCCTCTGCTTCCTGAGTACTGGGATTTAAGGTATATGCCACCATTCCCAGCTCAAAGTCTGAGTTCTGTTTTTGTTTGGGACGGGCAGGCAGCTCAAAATATGGTTTCTGTGTAGCCCTGGCTGGCCTCAAACTCTCAAGAGGTTTGTCTGCCTCTGCCTCCCGAATGCTGAGATTAAAGGCATGCACAACCACTGCCCAGTCTGAGTTCATTTTTTTTTAGTGGTCTTTTCAGACAGGGTTTCTCTATGTAGCTTGTCCTGGAACACACTCTGTAGAACAAAGTGGTCTGGAACTCAGAGATCCACCTGCCTCTGCCTCCCAAATGCGGAGATTAAAAGTGTGTGCCACCACTGCCAGGCAGCCAGTCTGAGTTCTTTTTTATTACCCCCCAGATTTTTTTCCTGTTTTTTGTTTGTTTGTTTGTTTTTTATTTTTTGAGGCAGGGTTTCTCTGTGGCTTTGAAGGCTGTCCTGGATTTTTTTTTTATATTTTCATTTCATTTTACATTCCAACAGTCTGAGTCTTAATGAACACTGCAAACACACTGGCTAGAAGCCTCAACAGAACCCTCATGCCCTTTACTTCTGGCAGGGGACGGCTTACCAAACCATCCCACTGGCGACACCAAAGCCACTTACCAAGGCCCTGACGGCCACCTCGGTTGGCAAATAACTCAGGCACACGGCCCAGCTGACCCTGCTCTCCACACCCCAAGGTGTAGAGGTCTCCGTCAGTCGTCAGCATCACCAAATGGTCATTCCCTGAAGATGAGAGGAAGGCAAGGGATGAAGGGTGTGTCTGTAAGACCCAAGGCTGAGCTGCCCTAGCTCCTGTCCAACACTCACCTGAGGCTACCTTTACCACAGGCATGTCCAGCTGCACTTGAACAGGAACCATGCTCTTCTTCATGGGCTCCAACAACCCGATCACACCGTTATTATCCTACAAAGGAGGGACAGAGACTTAAGCAGCCAGTCCTGCGGCTCTGTCAGCCAAGTCCAGGCTTGCTAGGGCCATGACAGCTGCCTGGAGAAGGGTAGTGAATGAGGGGTAGCAGATATGGACAGTGAGACAATGGAATGCTGAAGAATGACAACACCCACAGTCGGGGACTGTGTTAAAGTGAGCGAGGGTAAAGATGTGAGTGGGGGGAAACAAATCTGGCTAAAAGTCAATTAATTGCTGAGGCAGCATGGCAAGAAGACAGAGGTACAATACATCGTTCTGAGCATTACTGTGTTAAAAAATTCTTCATAAAAATGCTTACAACAGCTGGGCATTGGTGGCTCACGCCTTTAATCCCAGCACTCGGGAGGCAGAGGCAGGCGGATCTCTGTGAGTTCGAGGCCAGCCTGGTCTACAAGAGCTAGTTCCAGGACAGCCTCCAAAGCCACAGAGAAACCCTGTCTCGAAAAACCAAAAAAAAAAAAAAAAAAAAAAAAAATCCATGAAAACCAAAAAAAAGACCACACCCCCCAGCCTTAGAATCACAAAGAAGTGATGCTTCCCATCTCCACAAATCTATCTCAACGCCTCTGTAATTTTTTTTTGTTTTGTTTTGTTTTTTGGTTTTTACGAGACAGGGTTTCTCTGTATTGTTTTAGAGGCTGTTGGTCCAGCCCAGCCTTGAACTCACAGAGATCTGCCTGCCTCTGCCTCCCGAGTGCTGGGATTAAAGGCATGCGCCACCACCGCCCTGCTGTAATGGGTTTAAGAATGAGAAGGGCACAAAAAGACGAAGCAGCTTCCAGGATCAGTTGCAGCTCAGAGGCACCCTTTACCCACCCCTTCCCAAATACCGTTATTTCATCACATTCAAGCAAATAGCCAGTGGTATGGATAGACCTAGATAAGGTAGCAGGGACTTAAATCTGGGCCCAACCTACACGTGACCCTTACCTTCTATTCCCACAATGGGGACAGGTAAGTGGATCATTTGGGTATCCTAAATTAATTTTGCCTGCCAGCCCCGGGACCTCCCCTCCCCCCACTCCCACCCCGTACAAATTTCCAGACCCAGTCTTACCCGGAAAGAGCCCCAGAGGAAGACACGGCCATCTTCAGTAAGAGCTGCTGTGTGACTGTCCCCTGCTGACACTTGTACCACCTTCTCTTGCAGTTCCACTTTGCCAGGGACCATCTCTGAGCCCTCGACTGATGTGTCCCTTCCCAGGGCACCCTCATCATTGCAGCCAAAGGAGTAGACCTGTGCCCAGGGTGTCCCATTAGCACAAACTCAGTTTGTGGCCAACTCATTTAGGCCACTCCTTGCTTCTATAACCAGGTCCTGTCCCACACCCTTGCACCCAGGTCCTGTCCCATCTGTCCCAACCCCCTCTGACTTACCTGGCCACTTTGGTTCAGACACACGGTATGCATGCCCCCAGCCTCAGCCTGCACAACATCTTGCAGAAGGGGCACCAAGGCCGGCTTCTTCCTCTCCAGCACACTCTCACCCAGCCCCAGCTGGCCCACGTCGCCCTGGCCCAGTGTCAGCACCAAGCCTGGTTCTGTTTTGTGAGACCTGTGTGAGACTAAAGGGTGGAGAAGACAGCCCCTGAGTGTGCAGGACTCGGGCAGTAGAGGTCATGGCACGGGCTCTGGGATCACAATGACCTGGGGCAAGCCCGTGCTCTGCCAACAGGCTATAGATAAAACCTCTGTGGGTCTAAGTGTCCTCATCTGTGAACGGAGCATGACAAGGGGTTTGTGAGGATTAACACCCAAGCACATTACTGACATGACGAGGAAAGACAAACCAGGAGACACACTGCATGGTGAAGTGGATGTTGGTGGCAGGGCATGAGGACAGTGAGGATACAAGACAGTTTCCTGCTGAGCCCATATCTCAGATGTGCGTCCATACTGCCAACCTTTTGTTTTGTCTGGTTTTTTGAGACAGGGTTTCTCTATGTAGCCCTAGGCCGTCCTGTACCTCACTCTGTAGCCCAGGCTGGCTTTAAACTCACCAAGATCCTTCTGCCTCTGTCTCCCAAGTGTTGGATTAAAGACATGTGCCACCACTATCAAGCAGTACCAACCTTTTCCTGACCACTTACTCAACCAACACTAGCTGGCTCTGTAGACCTCCCATATTTAGAAGACCCTGCTGACAGGCCTGGTGAGTCAAGCCTTTAATCCCAGCCCTTGGAGGCGGAAGCAGGAATCTCTGGGAGTTCCAGGACAGCCAGGGCTATTCTATCTTAAACAAACACCAAAAATAGAAGACACTACTGTTTTACAGGACACAGAATAGAGCCTCCTAGAGGGTTAAAAACCTACCCAGGCTCATAAAGCTAATTAACAGAGTTTACACTGAACTCAGGGTGACTTCCTGGGTTAGAGCACTTATCAACCTCTATCTGAACACCCTGCCCTCCCAGACAGTGATCTCCAACTCTGGTGCACAGGAGAACAGACCACCCCTTCTGCCAGCATGGGCAGCACACTGACAGCTTCAGAGAACAAGAAGGCACAGTAAGAACCCACAGATGCATTTGCAGAGAGGCGTGGGCTAACCAGTAGGTAGTGCAAAGCCTTATGGCAGCAATGGAAGCCTGCCACAGCCCTTCAGTCAATGGCATCCAGTCCCTTCCCCAGGGGTGTGGCCTCAGCTGCCAGGGCCACTGCCGCTGCACAGAGGCTGCACCGGGCAGGGAGCCATCTGGTTGGGTTTTCTGGTCAGTTGGGTTTGGCCCACAGGCACCTTGGCAGGAGCGGGTAGCAGGACCGCGGTTACGAGGGTCTGCAAAAGACAGACACTGTCTGAGCATGTATCTATGCTCCTTCCTCCCATGCTAGGGGTCAATTTCTCTGGTCTTTACCACTCTGGGGTTGTAGGAGAAAGAAAAATTACAGGACAGGTCCCTCAAATGAAGCTGGGACATTATCTCATCTAATCTTCAATGACTCAGGAGGTTGATGGAGTTCCCATCTCCATTCTATCAAGGGAACTCAACCTCAGCCAGATTAATTGGCATGCCTGTGGTTACACATGAGAAAACGGCAGAGCTAACAACTGGACCCACCTCTGAAAGCCCAGTAGGTCCAAAAGCCTTGGGCTTTCAAGCTGTCAGTTCAGAACAAATGGACCTAACTCCAGGGACTTTTTCCATTATCAGGGAGAGGAGACCAAAGTACTTTAGACAGACCAAACGGGAATTCATTCGCCTGGGGCCAAGTTTTAGGATGGGGGTGGCAGGGCAGGGGATCTTTTTCTGACAGCACTGCTAGAGTACTCTGACAAGCCTCAGCCTAGGCCTCTCTCTGACTGCTACAGGGCTGGACTGAGTGAGATGTAAGAGAACCTCCGCTAAGCAGGGGTCCCTGGACATCTAAGCTCCTCAGAGCTTTAAGCCAGGGAGGAAGGAGCGGGGGCCCAGAGAGTTCTTTGTTTGTTCTGAGACCACTCAGAGCCAGGAAGGGATCAAGACCAGCTTACCTTTAACTTTCTTGCTTTTGGGAATGGCATCTTCTGGGGGTGACCTTCTCTTAGCTATGCGCTTGGGTGGCATCTTCCTGTCCTGAAAAACCCAGCCAAATACTACATGTCAGAATCACAAACATTTTCTTTTTTTTTTTTTTTTTTGGTTTTTCTTTTTTTGGTTTTTCGAGACAGGGTTTCTCTGTGGCTTTGGAGGCTGTCCTGGAACTCGCTCTGCAGACCAGGCTGGCCTCGAACTCACAGAGATCCACCTGCCTCTGCCTCCCAAGTGCTGGGATTAAAGGCATGCGCCACCAACACCCGGCTTTGTTATTATTTATTATTGTGTTTCTGTTTGTCTGTTTTTAAGACTGGGTCTCTCTACATAGCCCTGCCTATCCTGAAGCTCACTCACTATGTACACAAGGCTGGCCAATCTGCTTGCCTCTGCCCACTGAGTGCTGGAATTAAAGACCCACCGCTCCCAACCTTATTTATTTAGTTTTTTTGGGACAGAGTTTTTCTATGTGTGACTGTCCTGGGACACACTATGTAGACCACACTGGCCTAGAACTCAGACCTGCCTGCACTAACTCCCGAGTGCTGGGACTAAAAGGTGTGCACCCAGACCAGCTTTATTTTAATTTAAACTTTTTTTTTTTCCTGTTATGGGGTGAAACCCAGAGCCTCAGAAATGCTAAGTTAGCGCTCTGCCAGTGAACCACACCCCGGCAGTGTGCTGTCTCGGTATCACTCATTTAACCCTGCCCGTCAGCCTCTCATGGAAGTACACGCCCGTAATTCAACTCAGGTGCAGGCAGGGATGGGAGGAGCTCAGGGCAATCCTAGACTGCACTGGACCCTGTTTCAAATAATAATAGTTACTAATAAGCTACAATGGAGATCAGGCAGCTCTTCAGACTGGGTAGCCCTAGCTGGCCTGGAATTTACTATGTAGACCAGCGATCCGCCTGCCCTGCCTCCTGAGTAAGTGCTGGGATTAACCGCATGCATTACTTGTTTTGTTGTTCGTGTTTGAGACTGGCTGGCCTGGAATTTGAGGTGCTACAGCGCTGAGGTCCTAAGTAGGCATCACACCTGACTTCTGTCTGCTCTTCTTTGTCACAAAGAGCATCTTTCTGTTCAATAGATTTGTCTGTAGAAATGTCGTTTTTGATGGCATCCTACCATTCCGTCATGTATATTCTATGTGTGGCCAGTCCACTAGTCCTGACTTTCCTAGTGCTGAAAGTACGGGCAGATACCATCAGGCCCAAGGAATGAAGTGCTGGGATTTGAACCAGGATCGGACTTGAAGCTTAGGCAGATTCTTACCAGGCTGAGGTATATCCCCAGCCCTTAGTCTACTACATTAATCAAGTAGTTTGCTCATTTTTCTCCCCAGTGTTATCAGCAATAGAGAGTATTTGTGAGCTCAGTCATTACCCACCTATCCAGAAGCTGTGGGGTAGATGCTAGGTGACTCGTTTTTACTTTTAGCTCCTCCTACCCCCCCACAGGGAGTCTCTGTGTACTCCTGTCTGTCTTGGAACTCACTCTGTAAACCACGCTGGCTTCAAACTCACAAGAGATTAAAGATGTTCAACACCACTACCTGACACTTTTTAGGGTTTTTGATAAATATTGCATAAAGAAAATGTTTGTGTCCCATCCAAGTACTAACCAGGCCCGACCCTGCTGAGCTTCCGAGATCAGACGAGATCGGGCGCGTTCAGGGTGGTATGGCCATAGACGACAGTCACACATAGAAAAACTCTGTCCCAAAAAAACTAAATAAATAAGGTTGGGAGCGGTGGGTCTTTAATTCCAGCACTCAGTGGGCAGAGGCAAGCAGATTGGCCAGCCTTGTGTACATAGTGAGTGAGCTTCAGGATAGGCAGGGCTATGTAGAGAGATCCAGTCTTAAAAACAGACAAACAGAAACACAATAATAAATAATAACAAAGCCGGGTGTTGGTGGCCCACGCCTTTAATCCCAGCACTTGGGAGGCAGAGGCAGGTGGATCTCTGTGAGTTCGAGACCAGCCAGGTCTACAAAGTGAGTTCCAGGACAGCCTCCAAAGCCACAGAGAAACCCTGTCTCAAAAAAACCAATAAATAAATAAATAATAAAAAATTCAAATGATCGTAGGGAAAGTACTTGCTCAATAAGTTAATGCTGATAGTAGGGTGGTAGTTAGGGTCTTCTCCAGGTAAGACGGAGACACAAATTTACTGGAATCTTAGCAAGAGGAACTAGGAAGGGGTCCCCTTGCTGGGAGAATAGATACTGTACAAAGTTCACCTGACTGACAGGAATGACAACTCTGCTCCTGGCAACAAATGGAAGAGCAGCCCAGGCCCTCTCAGTGTGTGCTGGGGATGTGGTCAGCACACTACCATGCGGCCTCCCGTGAAAACCTCAGAAGGTATGAACACAGGTCTAGAGACTTGTGACTCAGAGAAAGGAAACCACAAAGGATTTTAAACAGGCCCAGGAGCCTGCAGAGCCAATGTGAACTTTGTACAATATCTATTCTCCCAGCAAGGGGACCCCTTCCTAGTTCCTCTTTGAGACCCCTTTCCTCACACTGAAAATGACTGCTCTTTGGGATCCCTGGAACTTAATCCGCCTCCCAGGGCTCTGGTGTGTTGAACCATTATTTGTTTTTTTTGTTTTTTGTTTTCTGAGACAGGGTTTCTCTGGCTTTGGAGGCTGTCCTGGAACAAGCTCTTGCACAGCAGGCTGGTCTCGAATTCACAGAGATCCGCCTGCCTCTGCCTCCAGAGTGCTGGCACTAAAGGCATGCGCCACCACCGCCTGGCAACAACCGTTATGTATTAAAGAGGAGGTGACCTCTCAGGACAGACAGAAACCGGGACTGGATGCCTCCAGGACAGAGTAGGGTCAGTGAGTGACACATGTGCGCTCATCTCCCAAAGATTCAGAGTGCCTAGGGTTGAGCCAAGATGCAAAGGCCAGAGGCAAACCTGCTTCCTGTACTCGTGGAGCTTACATTCTAGTAAGAAAGTAAGATCTTTACAGAAATCACTCCTTGTTCCCTCCTCGCAACCCATTATTCCCTCCCAAAGAAACTAGAAAATAACTCAGGAAATCTTTGCTATACAAAAAAAAAAAAAAACTTTTACTTTTCAAAACAAGCTGAAGTCAGGAATGTTGGCAAATGCCTGTGAGGTAAGGTCACCCTCAGCCACACAGCCAGATTGATGACAGCCAGGGCTACAGGAGACCCTGTCAAAAACCAAACCAAGGGGTTTCAAAGGTGACTCAGTCAGCGTGCAAGCATGTGATCTGAGTTCAGAACCCAACACTCACAAAACACCAGGCACAGCACACTCCTACAATCCTAGTGCAGGGAAATTGGGGTGGGGTGCACACATCCTTGATGCTCACTGGCTAGCTAGCCACTGTACCTATCGGGTGAACCCCAGCTTCAGAGAGATGCCGTCTCCAAAAGTAAGGCAGAACACAATCCAGGAAGCCAACTGTCAACAACTTCTGCCCTCCACATGCACTCAGACCCTCATGCACATTCACAGGAACACGTGTACATCACACGCAACAAACTCACCCCAGCTGAGAAGAGCTGAAGACACCATCCCCCCATAGCATGGTTGAGGGAGCTGACGCTTGCCCACGTTCATACAGCAAAGGAGAGACAGAAAAAGGACCCAGACATTTTATTTTATTTTAGAGACAGGGTTTCTGTGTTAACAGCCCTGACTGTCCTGGAATTCACTTTGTAGACCTAGGAAGCTGACCAAGATCAACACAGGCTATATAGCAAGACCCTGCCTCACCATTAACACTCAAAAATGTCAGCTAAAGGTATCCTATAACCAGGGTAGGAATTTAAGATGCCTGAGCAAGTCTCTCAGGATGGCCAAATTCAAGGAGCAGAAAGCAGAAGTCCAGGGAGGGAGCGGGCAGGTGGAGCCTGGCTGAGTGATCTAACAGATGAGTCCACTGCTGAGGGGAGAGATGCTGAGTCACCCCACATTCTCCATCTGCACCACAGCAATAGTAGTTGCTGCACTTGGCAGTATGCATAAACCTAGAAGTGAGGCAGGGGAAGAGCAGCACCTCCTACGCCATGCATAGGCCTAGCTGGGCGAGGTAGGTAAGGGCAGCATTTCTGATTCCCACAAATTCAAGGCCAGCCTGGTCTACATAATGACTCCTACCCTGGCTCAGCACTGGCTGCTCTTCTAGAGAACCCAGGTTTGGTTCCAGCACCCAGAAGGTCACTCACAACCACCTGTAACTCCAGTTCCAGTGGACCGATGCCCTCTCCCCTCTTCTGACCTCCTTGGGCCACTAGCGTGCATGTGATGTAGACACATCAGGGAAAACATGGTATACATTAAAAACCAAGAGGACTTGTCTTCTGTGGCCATTTGATTCCCACTCCCACTCCCCAGGACCCATCTTCAAGGAGTTTAAAACTGGAGGAGCGAGCAAGACTCAGAAATGAGAACCAGAAAGAAGTCAACTTCCATTAATAAAGCAGCAAAAGTGTAGGGCCCTCTTAGAGCTCAGACCTGTTGCCATGGCAGGAATGGGTAGGTGTGCAGGCCATTCAAGGCTGAGATGAAGCCCCAGGGGGCAGCACCCACCAGAGCTGGAGCTGCTCCAAGCCTGTTCCTCCCTTGCTAAGTAAGTCAAACCGGTAGGTACACTAGGCTAGACAATCTATCAGGAGCGGGTGTTCTCATGTGACCTCACCACAATCCCATTTCTGGAGTCTCTGGCAACCCCAGCAGCGGTCCCTTCCCTCCCCCACTCAGACTAGGGGCAAGACTTAGGGGTTGGGGAATGTCTTCGAGGCACAAACTACAGGAGATTAGGGAGTGCCTGTGCTGCCTGCTGTGTGCTGCTAGGAACTTCCCACCAGGAACTTCTTCACCCAGTTCCAGCAAGTCTGTGGTACTGCTTGGGGCTCTGTTCTCTTTTCCCTAGAGAGAGGGGCACGTTAGAGCCACTGGCTTTGGGACAGACATACTACCTTCACGTCACAAGTAAGGAAACTAAAGCTTAAGAGGATCTAGTGGAACCCAAACCAGACTCCTTAGTTGTCTTTGCAACCAGAACCCATGAATCACTTCCTACGCTCCATTAGGATGCTCTTCTTGGATGAAGAAGGCTTCTCTGTGCCCTCCACGCCGACTCCAACCCTCCCCCGAAGCTCCACATAACCACTGACGCCTGTGACCCCAAACACTTCTAGGGATTGCATGTGCTGCGCCCCATGTCTGAATTAACCTGACCCTAGTTATCCAAAACATATTACAACCTCACTACCCAAAGTCGGCCTCTACCATTCTATCGGGTCACCTCACTTGGAAAGTTATCCCTGACCCTCCACAGCTCGGTTAAGGCTTCCGCTTTGGAGTTCCCGGTCCATTTCATACCCTCAACTTCTGCCAGGGCACATGTGGTCGGGAGACTTAATTTCTGATGAATCAAAGACTTGGCAGCAGCATCGCTCGAGTTCCACGGGCATACTTTGCTGATCCCAGGAGGCCCTAACTGTGGAACCATGGAAGCCTGGCCAGGGAGCCCAGAAACTCCGCAAAGGGCATGGAGGTCCGCCATTGTCACCATTGTTCCCCAAAGGCTCGGGAGTAGCTCGGAAGCCTCAGGCAGCAGGCGACCGGGTGACAGAGCGGGTTAAGGGCAGGCGACCGTCTCTGGACGCTGCGGCTCCCTCCCCGCCGCCGGCCAAGCGCGCGTCCCCGGGCGCCGCGCACCAGCCGTTTGAATCTCCCGCCGCGTGGCGGGGCGCGCGCCCGGAGCGCGGCAGCTAAGGGGCTGCGCGGCCCGTGCGCGGGCGAGGCGGGGCCCACGCGGGCCGAAGCTCGCGCGCCCGCAGCGCCGCCGGCTTCACGTGCAGCCCGCCCCGCGCTACGCCACGTGGATGGCGACCTCGGCCCAATGCGGTCCCGCACCTCCCGGGTTCCCATCCCCGGGGCTCCCCGCGAACCGGAGAGCGACCTACCTCGGTGCGGGGAGGCCACAAGCAACTCCAGCGCTCGGCGGCCGGCGGCGAACTGCCTGAGCATGCGCTCTGAGGGCCTCCGGCCGCGACCCTGGCTAGTAAGGAAAACAAAGAGCCGGGCGACCCCTGGCGGCCAGAGCAGGAACTGTGATAGGATGCTCTCAGTTTGTACCCACTAGTGTTTATTTAGGAGACCTCAGAGGTGGGAAAAATGCAGACTACTACAGTTCTGGTTTGTTTGGGAAAATCTGGAGTGTGAGATCTGTACGGAGCAAAACTAGGCTGATAGTACTTAAGTGCCCATGCAGAGGGCTGAAAAATCCAACTATTACCTATACAGGGCCAACTGATCCAGCCTGGGAAGGCCTCAGAACAGTTATTTGTTTTTCATTTTCTTTTGAGACAGAGTTTCTTTGTATAGGCCCGGCTGTCCTGGAACTCGGTCTGTAGATGAGACTGTCCTGGAACTCACATAGCCCCTCCTGCCTCTGGCTCCCTAGTGCTGGCATTAAAGGCGTGAACCCCACCCCCCAGGATAGGAATGGCTTTCTAGTTAAAGTCTAACTGGGAAAAGAATTCAGAAAGGGTAACATTTGTTTATCACATGCATGTCCTTGTACCTTGTGTTTACCATGCCTGCAAAGAGGGCTGATGCTCTAAAACAGGAGTTACAAATGGCTGGGACCTGCTATGTAGATCCTGGGAATGGAATCCCAGTTTCTGCAAGACCAACAAGTGCTCTTAACCACTGAGTCATCTATCCAGTTCCAGAGGGGTAACATTTGCAATGACAGAGGGTGAAATGTGAATTACTATGGGAGGTCAATATGATCAGAACTTTAAGAATGGACTTGGAGCTAGGCGTTGGTGGCACACACCTTTAATCCCAGCACTTGGGAGGCAGAGGCAGGGGGATCTCTGTGAGTTCAAGGCCAGCCTGTTCTACAGAGAGAGATCCAGGACAGCCTCCAAAACAATACAGAGAAACCCTGTCTCGGAAAAACCAAAAAAAAAAAAAAAAAAAAATGGACTTGTGGTAGGGGTGGGGTTGAAGAGATGGCTCAGAGATTAAGAGCCCTGGCTGCTCTTCCAGAGGACCCAGGTTCAATATCCAGAAACCACATGGTGGCTCACAACTGTCTGTAGTGAGATGTGGTGCTCTCTTCTGGCCTGCAGGCATACATGGCAGCAGAGCACTATGTACAAAATAAATTTGGTAAAGTGGAACCAAGGAAAGCAAGGTAAGGCCTGGCTGGTGGCACCTCTTATGTCTATAATTGCATCTTTCCAGAGGCTACAGCAAGAGGGACCGTAAATTCCAGACCAGGTGGCATGTCTAGCTCAGAAATGAATGAATGAATGAATGAGGGGGTCACTATGGATTTGCCTAAGGGTGAGGTTCAAGGTTCATCTCCAAGACGGTGAAGGGAAGGAGGGAGAACATAGGGCTAGGAAAGAAGACTCAGGGCTGGAACTACTGAAGTTAAAGACGCCCTCTCACCAGCATCCTCGGATGAGCAGCCCTGTAGGACTTAAAACAGTGTCCCTGAGGTGATATTCGGGATATTTGGTTGTGTATGGCCTTCCTCTCCTAGGGCAGTTATCTCTACATACAGTATTTTCTGTGTTCCACATTAATTCTGACTCCTGAAGCTATTGTTTTAAATACTTTCTTTGCATTTGTTTATATTTGGTTGTGAGCCTTTGATGACCGAGCCACGCCTCTGGTCCCATTTGTTTATTTTTGAGACCGGGTCTGTCTCACTGTCTACACCAGAATGGCCTTAAACTCAGAGAGCTGCCTGCCTCTGCCTCCCTAGAGCTGAGAATAAAGGTGCAGTTACTTATTTTTAAAATGTTACCTTTCTTTAGGAACAAGACCAGCACCTGCAAAAAGCCAGCCCCTTGGCTTGCCTGGGCTCACGGCTGGGGGAGAGGGGAGCCCCCTCCTCACCTGCCAAAACATCTTAATCTTTTTTTGAGTGTGTATGCTCATGTTCATGCTAGCGTGCTTGTGGAGGCCAGGACAACATTCAGGAGTAAGTTATGCTTCTTTGTGGGTCCCAGGGAGCAAAGTCAAGTCTTCAGACTTGGCAGTAGGCACTTTTCCCAAGGGAGCCATCTCTGGATGATTATTTGCCAACTGCATTGCCCCTATTATGTAGTGCCAGCCCTAGAGCAGTTCCCTAATTTCATCTTACCTTTTCAGGTTTACCTCTGCCTCCATCATGAGCTCCTCTTAGTTGATAAACTGAAGTTTCTCCAAGCTTCACCCTGGAAATAAATGGTCTCCCTATTGTCTTTCTCCAAGATCTTACTCATTCACATGGCTTTATGTAACCACAGAAAAATGATCACTCATCTTACATGTTTTATTGCCTTGTTTTGGGACTCATGTACCCAGGCTGTCTCCAAACTCCTAGTCCTCCTGCTTCAGGCTTCTAGAGCGAGGACTATAGGGATGTGGCACCAAGCCCCTGTCCCACAAACCATTGATTTTTGAAAATTTATTTTTATGCATTTTATTTATGTGAGCTGTCTGCATGTATGCCTACATACCAGAAGAGGCATCAGATACCATTATAGGTAGCTCACAACCATGTGGTTGCTGGGCTTGGAACTCTAGCCTTCTAGAAGAGCAACCAGTGTTAAACCTGAGCCATCTCTCCAACCCTCAAACCGTGTACTTTTAGTTATGTCTTGTGTATGGGGTTGTACACGTGAGCACTGTGTGCAGATTGCAGAAGAGGGCACTGGGACGTCTGGAGCTGGAGTTACAGGCAGCTGCTGGATGTGGTGCCATTTGCCAAGAACCAAACTCCAGCATTCTGGCAGAGCAACATGACTCTTGCAATGCCCACTTAGATATAGAACTTCCTATGTGCACTAATTTGCTTTACACAAAACCTGAGGTAGAAAATGAGATTTAAATAGTTGCTCGGGCTGGAGAGACGGCTCAGAGGCTAAGAGCACTCTTGCTCTTCAAGGGGTCCCGAGTCCAATTCCCAGCAACCACCTGGTGGCTCACAACCATCTACAATTCAATCTGGTGCCCTCTTTTGAGATGTAGGCAGAACACTGTATATGCGATAAATAAATCTTTAAAATAGTTGCTCTTGCAGAGAAGGTGGGTTGGATTCCCAGCTCAGTAACTGGAACCCAGTCCTGGAACTCACTATAGACCAAGCTGGCCAGGAATTCACAGAAATCCTGCCTCCGCCTCTCAAGAGCTGGGAGTAAAGGCGTCATTTTTTTCATAAATGTGCGTTGGTGTTTTCCTCAAGGCATGTCTGTGTGAGGGTGTTCAGAGTTGCCATGTTGGTAGTGCTAGGAATTGAGCTTGAGTCCTTTGCAAGAGCAGCCAAAGCTGTTGATGACTGAGCTATCTCCAGCCCCTTATTCATTTTGTGTTTTGTCTGCAGGTATTTTTATGTACCATGTGCAGTAGTCAGAAGAGACCATGGAATCCCTTGGAATTGGAGTTATAGATGATTATGAGCTGTCATGTAGGTGCTGGGAATCCAACCCAGGTTCTCTGCAAGAGCAACTATTTTCTTCTCATTTCCTACCTCAGGTTTTTTAGTTAATGCACATAAAGTTCTACATAAGTGGGCGGTGGTACAATGGTTAAGAGTCATGTTGCTCTGCCAGAGTGCTGAAGTTTGGTTCTTGGCACCACATCCAGCAGCTGCCTGTATATCCAGCTCCAGACATCCCAGTGTCCTCTTCTGCAGCCTACACAGTGCTCACATGCACAACTAACCCAAGACATGGCTTGGGGGCTGGAGGGCAATGCACAGAAACCAGGACTCGGTTTCTGCTGGACCAATGAAACAAAGGCACACTGCCTGCTCAGGCCCAATAGGAAAACTGAGGCAAGGTGAGTTGGCTCACATCGATCCCCTCCCAACCTGTCTTCCACTCACCATAGGGTGAGGAAATACTTCCATTCCAACCAAGAAGCCTGACCTATCTAGCTCCACATACCGTGGACTCTGCCTAGCCATCCTTTCCCACTTAGGCACGTTAACTTTTTTTGGTTTTTCAAGACAGGATTTCTCTGTATTGTTTTGGACTCAGTCCTGGAACTCACGCAGTCCAGGCTGGCATCCAACACAGATCTGCCTGCCTCCCAAGTGCTGGGATTAAAGGCTTGCTGCTACCAACACCTTTAATCCCAGGCCAGCCACACAAATCGTTAATGGCAGCATGCACACCACTGCAGTTAAAGAACCAATGCTCACCCATCTCACTCATTCCCACATCCAGAAAACCCAACAGGGTTATGTATCAAGATCTTCAAGACCTACCTTTTCCCTATTGCACCATTACTGAGGTCTTGACAAGGTGAGGGTAGGTAGTCCAGGAAGGCAAGACTTCCCATTATGACCTAGCCACCATCACTACACATCATAAGGACAAGTCTTTGGTTAAGCTGAACCCTCCACACAGCTCACTCATGGGACCAGATGTACTAAAGTTTCCAGAGAAAGGAATTCACTTTCAACCTATAAGTGAATCAAACCCACTCTTCAGTTTCCATGACCAACCCCAAACCTTCCACACCACTTCGTGCATGCACTAACACATTAAGCCAAAAAGGAAACAGGCATAGTCAAAAATTTTCCTTTAATTCACAAACATTAGTTCACATGCATA